TAAAAAGAAAGATATAGCTATTTAGCTATAATGCTAGTTTCTAAAAAGGATTATAGTAATAAATAATATTATTTACTTCTCTAAGGTTATTATAGATAATAATATAGCTTTTTTTAAAGTAATAAAGCTTTTTATTTAAAAATAAAGTTTCTATTTAGAGATAATAGCTTTAAATCATTATTAGTAGAATAAAAAAGTAGAAAACTTTAAAAAAACCTATATAATAAAAAATATAAGTAATATACTTAAAAAAACTAGCTTTTTAAAGTCTTTTTAGTTTTAATTAGTAAAGACTTTTATAAAAGTTAATAATCTATTATTTAATGATAAATATAATATTTATCTTTATAAAAAACTAATAAATATTTTTAATATATCTTTTATTATAGAAAATCTATATATATATTACTTGTGCTACTAAAATTATTAAGTTTATATTTATATTTATTTAAATAGCTATTTATATATAAAGAAGTAGAAAATAAAGTTTAAAGCTAAACTTGAGAAATTTATAGAATATAATAACTTCCATAGTAATATCTTTTGTATTCTTATTAAAAGAAGTAATAATATTTAATAAATAAAAGATATAATATTTAAAGAAAATAAAAATAAGCTTTTTTTCGTTAAATTTAATAACTTATAGCTAAGAGAAAAAGTTAACCTAAAAACCTATAAATATAAAAATGAACTATTAATTATAACTTATAAGACTAAAGTTTAGCTTAATAAATACTACTAGCTATATATTAGTTTTACTAAATAAGAATAATAAAAAGAGAAAATGAGTCATTTATACTTAAAAGAAGCTTAAGAACTAAAATAATAATAATAAATAAAAATAGAAAAATAAGCTTTTTTAAAAATAAGAAGAAGTTAATAAAAAGAGAAGTAGTTTATTAACTTTAAACTTAAAATTATATATATTAATACTTAATATCAGTATTATAAATATATAAGTATAATTAATACTAAAAGAAAGTTCTCTTTCATAGTAATATTTTCTTATTACTCTATAATAGTAAAGCTCTTTAGTTATTTTATTTTAATTTCTTTATTTAATTAAAAAAAAAAAGAAAACTAAAAAGTAATAATAAAAGCTTTATTTTATAAGATTACTGAAAGTAATTACTTCTTCTTCTAATTAAATAACTTGAATATTTAAAACTTAAGTATTATATAATATAAAGAAGTTTAATAAAAGAATTATTAAAATAGAAGCTATAAAGATTAATCTAATTATTAATAAAATAAACTAAGAACTAATTATTTTTACTTTTTTAGTATCTAACTTATTATAAGCTTTTAACTTAGAGATTTACTTATTTATAACCTTTAAGAAATAAGAAATAATAAAAGAAAAACTTCTAAAATTAGCTATTTTTAATACTATAAAAGCTTAAGTTAATAATTTAAAAGGAATAAAGTACTAATAACTTAAAAAACTCTTAGATAGTTTTAAATATCTCTTAAGTAAATAGATATATAATAAAAAAGTTACTATAAATGGAAAACTTAATACAATTAAAGTAAAATAAGTTATTTATAATAACTTTTTAAATAAAGATAATAAGATAATTTATATTACTATTATTAATCTAATTACTCCATAAATCTCTCTATTAATTATAGCTTTTAAAGATTTAAAACTCTATTAAGTTAATATAGTTATAGCTTTTCTAAATACCTTTATAAGAGATTAAAGTATCTTTATTATTTAACTTTATAAGTTTAATAATAAATCTAATTAGTTTTATAATTTAAACAATATTCTTTACAAACTAAAAAAATCCTATCTTCTCTAGTAGAAATAAATTATTACTATCCTTAAATAATTAAAGTTTAATTTACTCTTAAAAAAACTTTATATTCTTATTAATAAAAATAGTATTATAATATTATTTTATATTAATAATATACTTATTATTATGCTTAATATTAAATAAGTTAATAACTTTAAAATAATTTATATAACTTCTTTTAGATTAAAAAATTAAATAAGATATAATAGTTTTTTAAGTTTAAAATTATTTATTATTATAAAATAAAATAACTTTAGATCTTATAAGATAAATATATTAATAATATACTAATAGAAAATAGTATTACTAAACATAATTAAATATTTTACTTCTTTAATAGTATTTAGCTACTAAAGAGTATAGAATAATATTAAATACTCATTAGGATATATAAATATTAAAGTAATTTAAACAAGTTATAATAGATTATAAATAATATATAATTAAATATTATAACGTTTATAAATAAAACTAACTACTAAAGATTAATAATATATTTCTAAAAAGTATAATAAACTACTAAAATTCATATAAAGATATCTTTATACTTTATAATAATTAGTACTTTATTTTAATAGCTTAAGTTTTTTTATTAATAACTTTAAATTATTAGCTTTCTATAAAACTAGTTGGTTTAATTATAAAAGAATAGATGAATTAATATCTAGTTATATAGTTATATATAGAAAAGTACTAATTACTTAGAAATTAGTATTATAATTATTTATAGCTATATTAACTTATAAAACTAAATAAATCAATCTAATACTTAGAAGAAAAGCTTTATTATATATTATGGATCTTTTTAAAAATATAAATATCTTTATTTAATTACTTCTCTAAATATATATAGATTTTATAAATACTTTAAATCATTATTTATTAAGTAAATAGTTATTTAAATTATACTATATTAAAATTAAGTATTATTAAATTATTAATAATATTAATAATAGAGATTTTAAAATTAACTATATCTTAACTTATAAAATAATTACTAATAGCTTTATTAAACTACTAATAATAGAGAAATATTATAACTTTATTAAAATACTAAGTTTATTTAAACTACTTATAACCAATAATAAGTCTTAATTTAAGGATAATATCTTAAAACTTAATCATAATTAAGTTTTTTTTTATTTCTTTTATATATAATAACTTTATTCCTTTATATTTTACTAATTAATTTATTTTTATAATTAAACTTTATATTATTTTAATTAATTTAATTTATCCTTTTTTAGTTAAATTACTAACTATAAAAGCTTTCTATATAAGAAGTTATTTAATAATAAAGGTTTAAAAAGTAATTAAAGATTTTAATTTTATTAAGTTAAAAATTTATTATTAAGCTAAACCTTTTAGTTAATATTCTTTTGTATTAAAACATAACAATAATAACTACTAAAAGAAATATTAATTTAAGTTTAATTTATTTAATTTTAATTAAACTTAAGAATATAAATTAGAATAAAAATAAAAAGAGAACTAAACTTTATAATATCTTCTAATAATTGTTTTAGTTAATTAAGTTTATATAAAATTTAACTATATTTCAGAACTAACTTTTATAAAAATCTATAAACTTTATTATATTTTAAAATATTAAGTTCAACTATAAAATATAATATTAATATTATTTTATAAATATTAAAATATAATTAAACTTACTCATTTAAGATTTTAAAATTAAGTTATTAGTTTTTTTAATCTAAATTTATATAATCTAAAAAGAGCTAAATTATTAAACTATATAACTTTAGTTTATATTAAAATTACTTTAAGTTTAATAAAAATTCTATATAATAATTAAATATATAATAAGAATAAAAGAGAAAAATAAAAATAAATTATATAGTAATATAATTAACTGAATTACTATTTTAAAATAAAAATAGCTTTATAAAAATACTAGAAGTATTAATTAAAAAAGAGGTATAAAATAGAAGTTAGCTAAGCTAAGCCTAAGGCCTAAACCCTAGCTTGAATCCTACTTTAACGTAAGGGATCAGCTACACTACTTTACAGCCAGCCGCGCCCGGCGCTCGTAGCTAGATTAATCAAGCCACTTCACGCACCTCTTGATTGCCTCGCCCAAACCCCGGCCCAAGGCATATCTTGTTCAACCACCTGCTAACTAGGACAGAACCTGGGCAGACGGGGAACTCACCCGCCCATGATACCAGAGTCCAGGTAACCGCCGCCATCTTTTCACTTCCCACACCAAAGCGCATGCCGAGCCCCCCTTGGCTGGCCCATGTGGGTCGCATTCGGTGAGCGGGCAAGGGCGCAACGACGGGTGAGCCTCCCTTCCATCCACTGCCGGCTCGTTCGTCCAATGTCGCCTGTGCTTCTCCAACAACGGCTTTCGTCCCATCATCTCCGTCTTGTCCATGGCGGAGGCTAGTCGACCACATCCCCAGCTTCATAACAGACCTAGAATATAGATACGACCCGGAGGACACCTGGCATCAACATCTACGCGTTTCTTCCTACCCATAACCCAATCGTCTGTTCGATCAAGACATACTCCATGCGGACTGCAACACGAAACTCACGGCAGACGTCCCCTGCCTGTTCAATTCCGCCCCTCCAAAACCATAATCTCCAGTTTAAATCGTCTTAGTCCACGCAGCTATCAATACGCGAAAATCACATGGCCGTACAACCGATTCCTCTTCTTCGGTCGAGTAGCCCGCCCCGGCCGACTGGCGGGTCCCGCTCGTCGATCCAACGAGCCTTCGGCCCTGCACTCAGGTACATGTGTGTTGCTGACTTACACCTTATCTTGTCGGGCGGGGGGAAACCTCGGGACCATTAAACATCTTGCTATTGTGCCTTAATGTGCTAAATCCATGGTACGCCGTCGCCTCCACGGCTGCTTTTCCCTCAAGACTCCATAATCAAAGATTCCCAACCTCGTGCCTCCCTTCGATTCTGCTTTTCTCTCTTCTCATCGTACTTTCAGTCATTCGTTTTGTTCAGTCCGTCCCCGACAGGTCCGAACCTATCGCCGCTGCACCACTAAGCCTATTATCGGCATCTAGGTAAGCAGAAACCCCCATAATACCAACCTCAGTCCTCACCGAGGTGTACGGAACGCGGGACGAAGGTGAGCCGGCCCAGTCCACAACACCCCTGGTGCTGATACCACCTACCCTGCCGTTGCGATGCGATGCATGACATGGCATGGACTTAACGCAGGCCCTCCAAAGCCGCATCCGCGTCTTCTCGCTCGCCTAGTTTGCGCTTGCCGTTGCCAGTATTGCTCGTCATCTCAACGTCCTCCGTCTTCCCGTCGTCCGCATCGGTCCATTCCACAATCTCCCACTCGACCCTGACCTTCCCGTCCCTACTCTGGTCCACCATCTGGCTGTGACGCAGATTGCCCAAACGGGTGCCGTCGATCATGCTCTCAAACCAGGGGACGCCGCGGGTTTCCCTTCCAATTACCGTGGTCGTTGTCGGAACGACGGACTGTCTCTCCGTCTCCTCGAGTTCGGGGATCAAACCCAGGTCTTCCAAATCTCGCAAGTCTTCGCCGCAGAGGCTGGCCAGTGTAAGATGGATATAGTCAGCTTCGGTGTGAGGAAGCTCGGTCCAGTAGGACAGTGGCGTTCCGCAGAAGCCGCAGAAGTATCGCTTCGAGGGGTTGCTAGACGGCGTCTCGAATACACGGCGAATCGCAGAGTGCGCCTCGTCGGGGAACAAGGCATGCGTTGAGCTGTGATACCAGGAAATCGGCACTTTGATCATTGCGGCCAGCGGGGTGGCCAAGGGAACTCCTGCGCAAGCTGTGGTCAGCTTCGAAGCTTGGGATTGGTGGGCATCGCATCTCATGCGAGAAAAGCAAGCCTAGGAAAAGAATCCAGAGAGACGGCAGACGAAAAAAAGAAGAAGGAGAAGATAGACTCACTGTGTCTGGCATCTGTGTGGAAGAGGACCTGCACCCTCTCACTCGTCTGTTGAGGAACAGGCTCGATGACGTACCGGTTGCGCCCGCACTGGCAACCGCCGCGCAAGGGTCGTTGCAAGCTCATTGCTGTTACCGTTGTCATTACAGCTCTGTCGAGAGTAGAATCGATAGCGTGCAAGCTGAAATTGGTTGGTGTATGGGTTTTAAGGCTGCCAGAGAGCCGGGAGGCGGCTCAATTTCACTACTGCGCAGTAGGCGGATGGCTTGTTGGTGTGTTTGTTGATCTTTCCCACATGAGAAGGGAAGGTCAGATCAGGAGAAGCTTCCAGGTGAACCCAGCAATCGCTTTCCGTCCCACCTCGCAGGCACCCCCGGCCCCTCCAGGCGCGCCTCCCGTGCGTGCTCCCACGCCCTTGAAGGTGAAGCCGCGGATCTCCCGCCGTCCATTCAGGCGTCTGAGTGGCCTGTGTTCCTCGCTCAACGCCTCTCACCGCGCTGGAAGCCCCGCCTGACGGCCGCTGCGTGGGGCACTTTCGTCATGCTTTCCTACCACGCCCCAGGCAACTGAGCTTGGGTTGTTGTTTGTTTGTCATGCACCGTGAAAGCTTCATGCCTTTCTATGTACGGATACATAGTAAAACGGCATCGGTTGCTTGAAGTGGGAACAGGGGTTCAGATTTGCTTCCAATCGCTAGTTAACGTTGGCAGGAAAAAGAGCGCCCTGCGCTCCCATGTCTAAGTCGTCGAGGAGTTGCATTTCCTCCTCGTCAAGCTCAAAGGAAAAGATATTGGCGTTCTCCTCGATCCTTGCCGGGTCGCTGCTCTTCACCAGCGGCACGAAGCCGTTTTGAACAGACCAACGTACAAGCACCTGTGCCTCAGTCACAGCTCTCCCTCCTGTACCATCACTTTCAGTACCGGCAGCTCCGGCCCCTGCCCTTTCGGTCTCGGAGTCGGACGTGACTCCGGCCAAGACCCGCCGCCGAACCCGGGCAACGACCCGTGCCAGCACCGGATCCGACATTCTCTGCCCTCTGGCCAACGGGCTATACGCCTGAACAAGGATCCCGTTCTTCTGGCAATACGTGACTAGTTCCCTTTGTTGGCACCAAGGATGGATCTATGCGATGCCTCATCAGCGACTCCGCAGCTTGATCGTGAGTCAAGTACTCACCTCAATCTGGTTCACAACAGGCGGCCAGACCTTGGCGTAGCCCTTCATCTCCTCCAGATGCTCGGCTCGAAAATTGCTGACGCCGATTGCCCTCGTCTTTCCTTCCTCCAGCAGCCTCTCCAGCGCAACCCAGACCTCCTCGCGCCTCTGAATGGGCCGATGCACGAGGAACAGATCAACGTACCCGTCTTCGCCCGCGATGCGTCGAACACTGCGCAATACGCTGCGGTACGTCTTTTCGACAGAGCCTTCGTGGCGACCGACCTTGGTCGTTAAGAAGAAGTCTTCGCGTTGTGCTTTCGCTTGTTCGAGGTATTGCTGCAACGATCTCCCAACATCTGCTTCGTTGCCATAGAGCTGCGCAGAGTCGATTTGTCGATATCCACAATTTAGCGCTGCCAGGCAAGCATCTGCACAGTCCGGGGCTCTAAGCTGGTATACACCAAAGCCTAATCTAGGCAGGTGAATGTCGGTTCCCCGCAAGCGTACCGTTTGATCCATAGTTCCGATGGCCGCACTTGTTTTGATGATGTGAGTTGCGGTTTGCAGTTGCCTGCCTATTTCATTCATGGCCATTGATGCCTCAGCACAGCAATCGGCTAAGTTAGGCAGCTGCAACCCACCCGCACAACCTGGTTGAAGACCTCACCACCACCAGTGTGAAGGTAAAATAAATCACTATGGTATATAATTTTCGTGGCAGCTACCTCTGTCCGCACCATGTTATCAAGAAGTCGTTTCCAAATATTAAACCTCTTCAGGTCCCTTAAGGGCAAGTCAGCCTAATAGGTAATTGTAGTGTTACATTCCCTTTCATTCCCAAGAACGCCAAGCAACAGCCCCAAGTCCCGAAAGCCTTCGACTTGCAGAGACGCGCTCAACCAGTCTTCTTCTTCTTCTTGGGCCTCTCTTCTTGTTCCTCCTCCTCCTCCTCGGCGTCGTCAGCGTCATCGTCGTCAACGTCGCTCTCTGCGCTTCCAGAGCCCGAGCTCTCGTGTTCACTGTCGAACTCCTCGGCAACGTCACTCTCACTCTCAGCGCGGAAGTCCTCATCAACGCTCTCTTCGTCTTCGTCAGCCGAGCCGCGATCCGCTTTCGGTCCGACGACCTCCTCTTCAGAGTCGTCCATTGCCTGATCGCGGAGAGCAGTGGCCAAAAGCTTGGCGTCCTCGTCGATCTCGTTCTTGACACGCAGGCCCTTCAGTCTGAAAAATTCCTCGAGCCCCTTAAGATCCTCGCGATTGATGTTGCTAAACTGAGATGAGCCAGCACCATTCTTCATCTGAACGGTGATATCGAACGTGGAGAGCGCCGAAACGGCGCCGCCGACTCGAGAGAATGTGACGGAAGCAGTCTGCTCATACGCAATGTACGTCGCAGGCTTCGGCACGAACATAAACGCCTTCTCCAAGCAGTACAGGAAGCCTTCGCTGGCCTTGATGGAGCACTTGATACCGAATTGTTGTCGGTGCCTGCATGTATGTTAGCTCTCGGCATTTCAAGCGAGCGGGGGCTGTCTGCGACATACGTCTGGAAGTCCTTCGCAGGTGTGGTGACCTTCTTGTTGGCCAATCCTCTGAAGATGTAGGTGATGACTTGGTGAAGAGGCTGCTCGTAGTGAGGCTGCAAACGGTCCTTGTAGCGCTCGTCTATTTGCTCCTCGGTGAGGTTGAGATCAATAGTGACCTCCTCATCCTTCTTGAACTGCATGACGATGAAGGGGTATCTCGTCTGACCCTGACGAAGAGGCGGGTCCAAGCCAATGACCAGGAGAACGTGTGTCTCGTCGGGCTTGGGCAGAACCATGAACTTCTTAATGGCATCGTATTGAATCTTGTAATCGTAGGTTTTACCACGTAGGCGGAAAGAAGCATCGTACATATCGATGTCGAAACGTCCTCTGCAGGTTCATGTTAGCGACGGATTGGCTTGGTAGACAACGGAGGTGAGCGGACCTGGGGGTAAGGTGCAGAATGTCCAAGAAGGTGGCGATAGTATCACCAGCAGTCTCGCCAATCTCGGCCTTCTCCATAAGGGTGTCATAGAACAGAGCGACAGCGTTCTTCTCTTCCTCGCCGGCATCACTAGTGCCGTCTTCGCCGTCGGCCTCCTTCTTGACAGTTCCAGGGATATAGAATCTCATCTCCACGAGCTGATCCTTGCCGGCACCAGCCTTCTTGCCCTTGCCGCGCGCACCGCCCAGGGCACCGTTGGTTCCGGTGTCATTCTTGTCCGTTGGGGCAGAGAATTCGACAGCGACTTCGTTGCGACCAGCCAAGTTGGTATTTGAGATCTCTGAATAAGGGATTTCGAAGGCGGGACGGTTCTGGACGTGGAATGCCAGCTCGGCCTTTCCGAAATCGGCCTTGCCCCAGTTCCAACCTCTGAGGGAGTGCTCCTTATTCTCAAGATTGGTACTGTACCAGCTCTTGAAGATCTTGCTCAAGCGCTCGTAGTCCTGGGTAACAGAAGTCAATATGGTGCCGCTCGTGGGGTCTGCCTGGCGGGTGTTTTACCTCTTGTTGGAAGCCATCCAGTTGAATGATGCGCGAATCGCGGTTGAGGATCTTGATCTCGTAGCCCTTGGCAGCTCGGCTCCAATGCGCTGAGGCGATGTTGCTGTGGTCGAGGGTGAAGGTGTCACCGCCACCAGCAGGCTTCCATCCGAGACCGCTCTCGGCGAATCTGCACTTGCCGCTCTCCTTGGAGAGGTCCAGGTAGATGCTGTCGAAACTCTCGCTAGAAGGAGCCATGCTGTTAGCTACTGCGACTGAGGAAAGCAGATTGAAGCAAGATGGGATGCGCGCGGTGGAATTGGAGTTCTGTTTGCGCAAATTTGCGCGGGGAGAATGCGCTCGCTTGGGAGGACCCGGGTAGCCGCAGCATTGATGGTTGAGACGGGGCGAGGAGCTGGCCTTGGACACTCACATGGCTGCCATGGTTGGGAAACCTCTCGAGCTAGAGGTCGCTGATTGTCGTCAAAGTAAGGTGGCAGAAACTGAGGCTGGAGCTTAAAGGCACGATGCTGAGTAGAAAGGCGACGTCCGGCGCGATCTGCAGAATGCCTGGGGTGGACGATGGGAGGAACGGTGGTGATGACGGGTTTTTAATCCGTAGGCAGATTGTCTTGTCGGTGATAAAATTTCGGGGCGATTGGGCCTTCGCGTGGTGCACTTCTCCTGTCGCGCGAGGCTCTGGTGGCACGGCGACGCGACCTCTCTAAAGTGAGTGGGCCCCCGTCCGCTTCCTTTTACCCCCTGGTTGCCGACTTACTTAATACAGTGCAAGCACCTACCTTAGGTATTCGTAAGATACGGATACCTTACCTTACTTAAGGTAGGCGTTAGTCAGCTGCTGGTGTGGTCCTCAGTCGGGAATAGCGCGGTGACGCAGCTACCCCAACTTTTTCCAACCTAAGCTGGCTGGTTGGCTAGCAAAGCTGGAGACGCAGCTGGAGCTGGAGCTAGCTGGAGCTGGCGGGACGGCAGCACGCACCGAGCATTTGCCAAGTGTGGGGTAATGGGAAGGGAGGGATAGCACTAACCGGCCCTGAGCTTTCAGAACCTCGGGTTTGTCGTCTCAGACAGCCAGGAGCTTGGGGGTATTGCTCCAAGTATGGACGCGGGACAGACTAATGTAGGTAGGCCAGCTGGTCCTCTCGCCCTCGTCGGGGAACTGGAGGTGTTTGAGCTCCTCCTCCTCTTCTCCTTTCCACCTTCTCCTCACTTGCTTAGACCTTAGAGCCGACGCTTTCCAGACGAACACTTAGGACTCCAAATTTTGGATCAGCGTGTGCTTCTGTTTTGTATCGCCATTGAATCCCGCTCATAACTCTACGTTTGAGACCATTTCCACAGTCGATCGCACTCATCTCGTCGACGTCATAATGTCCAGCCCGCCGTCCCGTCTCAAGAACATCTTGGGTCACCTTGGTCTCTCCTCACCTGCTCCAAAGCCCGAAGAGCCCAAGGCAGCCTTTCACATCCATCAACTTTCCCCAACCTATTTTCTGGAGCGTGCTGCCGCCATTGAACCCGACGCGGAGGCGATTGTCCATATCACTGCCAACAATAAGCTTTTGCGCCGCACCTACCGCGACTTTGCTGAGCGAGCAACCGGGCTTGCATACTATCTGAAGAAGCATGGCTTCCAGCGCGTTGGTATCCTGGCGCCGAACACGCCGGCTTTTCTAGAGAGCATCTTCGGCATTGCCCTGGCTGGTGGTTAGTTCGTTCCGTGACCCGAAATGCAGTAGAGTAAACGAGACTTACTTGCGAGAAATAGGGGTCAACGTCGCTGTGAACTACAGATTGAAGTCAGACGATATCACGTACATCTTCGATTATGCCGAGGTTGACTCAATCATCGTGGATCAAGAATTCCTCCATCTTCTTGACGAGTTCAAACAAAGTCACCCGTCCGTCCCATTCATTATCGACACCGACACCGATGCCATCGAGGGGGAATTGAGTGGCCCCTTTGACGAGGCCATCTTGGAGGGCCTGCAATTTGACCAGAGACAGGGCAATAAGAGGTTCGACGGCCTTCAATCTCACTGCGGCAACGATGACGACATGCTCGCCATTCCATTCACTTCAGGAACAACTTCTCGTCCAAAGGTGTGATTCCACGGATGTGCAAAACTGATACATCAGAACTGACAACTGTCTAAAAAAAAATAGGGTGTGGTTTACACTCATCGAGGGGCTTGTAAGTCACAAAACTCTCATCACGTGTTCTGAACCAACTCTGAATGGCTGTTAACTGTACGCAGACCTCGCAGCCTTGGGCAATGTTATCGAATCGGGTTTGAATTCACCTGATGGGAGGCGTTGCAAGTATCTATGGACACTGCCACTCTTCCACGCCTGCGGATGGGTTCGTAAACCTACCTTTGCCTTTTTGGTTTGGCATACTCACCGACCTCTAAAGACCTTTCCCTGGGCGGTGACAATGGTCCGAGGAACACACTATACATTGAGAAAGATCGACTATCCTCTCATCTGGAAGCTCCTTAAAGAAGAAGAAATCAGTCACTTCAATGCTGCACCGTATGAGACCTCATGATTCCACAAGTTTCTGTGCATCCTAACGGCCTTTCAGTACGGTCAACACTCTTTTGTGCTCTGCTAAGGAGGCAGAGGAACTACCCAAACCTTGTCGTGTGACTGTTGCCGCGAGTCCGCCCAGCGGTTACTTGTTTGAGCAGATGGTTCGTCCCGTATAAGACAAAGCGTTGTGGACTATGTTGACCGAGGCAGACCAACCTGAACCTGATACCAGTCCACGTCTACGGAATGACGGAGACGTACGGACCTATCACCAAAGGCTACCACATGCCATCATGGGATAGTCTTCCCCCCAACGAAAAGTATGCCAAGATGGCCCGCCAGGGTCATGGCTTTTTGACGAGTCTGCCGATTCGTGTAATCAAGCAAGACCAACCGGAGGGTGTTCTGATCGACGTGATGAAGGACGGAAAGGAAATCGGCGAGATCATCTTCAAAGGTAACATTTGTTGCAAGGAGTACTACAAGGACCCTGAGGCAACCAAGAAGCTCTTCGCCGGGGGTTTTTTGCACTCGGGAGATCTCGCAGTGATGCACGAAGATGGAGCCGCGCAGATCCTAGATCGTGCCAAGGACATCATCATCTCAGGTGAGCATGTTCGATTAAGAACTGTCTCCAAGTTATCATACTGAGTCGTACTTAGGCGGTGAAAACATCTCATCTGTAGCCCTCGAGGGCATGCTCGTTCAGCATCCCGATCTTCTGGAGGCTGCCGTCGTCGCGATTCCTGACAGTCATTGGTGAGTGGAATATCTGACACTGGCATCGCTGAATGGCACTGACAAATCCAGGGGTGAACGTCCAAAGGCCTACGTGACAGTCAAGGAAGGCAAGAGCCTCCAGCCGGAAGACCTCATATCGTGGGCAAAGCACCAAAGCAACATTAGCAAGTTCATGGTCCCACGCGAAGTCGAGGTCGTGGACGAGCTTCCGAAAACCAGCACAGGAAAGCTGAAGAAGAACGTTCTGAGAGAATGGGCAAAACATGGGCGTAAGGAATGAAGTAGCAGAGGGGAACGGTGGTATACCATGGAAAACAGCTGGAGCTGTTGCTCGTTGACTGTTGAAGTGGCACTTTTGCGTGCCAGAGTAATCCGTCAAAGTTTTGGAGATTATGACTATATGGATAGAGAAGATTCGAAAAAACTTTCTTTGATTTAGCTTAATCGGGACTCGGTCAAACAAGACTTGTCAGCCAATGGAGTCAGTTCAAGACCTACCTACAATGAAGCCTGGCCGTCCCGATTGGTGCTGGAGCAATCGTTTCCCTTCCTCCGTTGTTGGATGCCCTGTAACGCAGACGCTCTTAGATGGCAAGAAGCCCCCGAAAGAAAACTGCGCAAGAAAGGCAAAGTGTATAATGACCGGGTCATCATGCACAGCTTGACCAACCACACTGCGGCAGGTACTGGAGCACTAGAGCCCAAACGCAGTCCCTAAGTAGTCAAGTAATACGCGGTGAGGCAAGCAAGTGAGAACCACCACGAAGGCATACAGGCCTTTCCCCAAGGAACGACAGGGAATGGCATGCACGGAGGTGGTCTGAACTGCAAGTACGGAAAGTACAGCCCCATACCGATGAGATGAGCGGCCCTCCGGGACGCTCCTCCTCCACCACAATCTTGGGTAGTCCTAAGGAGGGAAGGCACTGTGCCTTCCACGCAGAAATGGGCTGACAAAGTGACGCATACTTTGGTAAGACCACGAGCTGCGTAGTCTGCCCACGTAGAGCCAAAGCTTCGAAGCGACGCCATGCCAAACTCAAGTCGCGAGGCCATCAGAGTACAACAACCGACGCGCTATACACTTCTGGCGACGGCCAATATGGTGTCACCTCGTGCATGGGGGCGTGACCCGACTTCGCAAGCCAGCATCCAGGCGAGAATGTCCACCAATGCCCGTGCCTGGATAGGTGAGACAGCCGAAGGTCCGGAGAGCCAACGGATGGCGCCACGCCATAAGGAGCACCCCTGAGGAGAAGACGAAGAAGAGACGAAGAACCTGATGGAACCGAGCCACTCAGCTGAAGAGGTCGCCCCGTACGGACAAGAGCTAATCCTCAAGACGGACACCCGGCCGTTGCCAAGCTTGTCAGCTCTCTCGTAGCTGGACGCACGTACAACGACCCGATCTAGGGCAAGGTCTTCTGAATGTCACGGGAAAGACCCTGAAGACCCTTGGACAGTGTTTGGCCGATAGGAGACAACTTCATGAGACAACGGTTCACTCGAACGCTGTCACGGCCAAGATGGCCGTGGGGTCACCAACTCTAGAACATGGTTTCGACTTCCGCCGGGTACCAACTCAGATACGATGCAGTCTATGAAGGCACGACAGAGGCGCTTCTTTCTCATCGGGATCGAGATATCATACTCTTGGCTGCATTCTCGCCGACAAATGTAGATCAAGGTTTCCCCTATCGCTGCTCAAAATACCCTCCGTCTTCCACGTGCCCCTCTGGTCAGTCCCATAAAGTCAGTCCTATAAAGTCAGTCCCATAAAGTGCCAGGACATGACAACCAGCACGAAAGTCCGATGGTCGCTTGCACAAGCCCCATCACCAGCATAGAACTTTGGGGTCCTTCATATCTCGAGGACGCACAAAGGCGTCATCTTGTGGGTTGATCGACGTGGGCGCCGGGGAAAGGGCTGTGGACGGCTTGCTATCAGTCCACTCCCGTCTACCTTGGCACAAGCTGTCTGCCTAAGCGCCCCTGATACGAGCATCCGAGATCCAGGGCCACTCGAGTCAGACATATGGCGGTCGTTTCTCGACAAGACGACTGATACCACCACTCAGAGAGGGCCAACGTTAAAATTTCTGTCCTTGATGAGGAGCGGCAGCTTCCCGGACGTGGTGAAACCGGAGTCAAGGTGAATGAGGGTGCTTTTGGCCGGTCAAGACGCGGACCACGCAGACACGACAGAAGACAGCTGCATTATGCAGGCCACAGTGGATAAAGGCTGCTTCTCCAACCGGGCAAGACTGGGCGTGCGCGCGGGTTACAGCTCAGGATTGGGCGACAGAATCCATGTAAACGCACCTTGGTCCTTGGGGGGCCTTTCTGCGCCCCATATGCGTATTTTCGTCCAGCAACCGCGGATCCTTTCGAGCGGTCTGCGTCTGCGTCTGCGTCTTCCGAAGCCGAGCTCACATGGAAATTACCCTGTCGACGGCTAGGTTATTTCGCGCGTCTGACCCTCATAAAGCCCACCTCGACCCCTCCTTGGGGGCAGAAGACGACTCTGCTGAGCTTTGTCAACGTCAATAATGCCTTGAATGTGAAAGCAGACAGAGTTAGGCGAGGAAGAGAGTGAGACAGACAGGACAGAACAGGACAGCGAGTTGCTAGACTTGCCCCACAGGTGAGTTGAATTGAAAGAAAGCAGCCGACCATGAGATAAGACAAGGAAAGACAACAGAGGGGAAAAAGACGAGCAGGATGGTCGAGGGAAACTGGCCACTCGACTGACGGGAACGAGCTCGGTACGGGTAGTGGCTCGATGAAGAGGGACGGGCAGGGTGGAAAGAATACTCATCACCCCGGGCAAGACACAACCGGCTTGCCGTACAAATAGGAGACGAGGAAAAGACTGACTAGGCGTGTAGATCGAGATCTTACAGGAACGACAACGACGACGACGATAGGTCATTTATAAATTAGTCAATAACCCAACGGCAGCCCTAGCCAGACGAGGCAACGACAGAGAGGGAGAGAGAGATACAGAGAGAGAGAGACCGAGAGGCAACAACGTCCGGACCTCGTTCGGTGTGTCTTGCGTCCCCTGCGCCGCAGCAAAAGATTTTTTTGGCGACAAGCCCTGGAGTGGAGTGACTCTGGCATAAAGGCAGGCCACCCCGATCCCCCCCGATTGCCGGCCTCCTTGGTCGCCGGGAATCATTCGCATCCCGCCGCCGCACGACGCCGAAAGTCTGTCTTGAGCGCACTACGACGAAGTCGGTTCACTTGAGCAGGTGTCGTAGTCGGCTGACTCTGTATTCCTCTAGCATCGGGAAGCAGTGGTCCGCCTAGAGACCAAAGTCACTCCACGGCCACGGTATGTTGGCGAACCCCGTGCCATTACGGACAGTCATCTCCCCAAATCGCCCCCTTCTCTGCGATCCCTGGCACGGCCGTCCCGCGGTATCTCTCCCGGGATTGTATAGCTGGCCAGACGCTCGTCTGGTGGCTGCTAGCGCCGGCCTGTGTCCACTGGGATCGCCTGGCCTCGCGCCTCGTCCCGAGTCTCCCAATCGTGGCTGGCTTTGCTTGACCTCGCCCGATCTTGGCTCCTCGTGAATCGGAGGCCCCTCTCTCGGCCCCGGCTTCGAGGGGAACAACGTCGAAGCTTCGAAAAAGCAAGAAAAACCTCTATAAATCTCCAAAGGCTTTGCGGCTGCTTTGGGGGCCGAGAGAGCGGGACTCGAAAGGGGGTTCTCCAAACAACCAGAACGCCTTTGCCATACACCCCTCCCCTGGGGACAACGACGACATGGCTAACACGCCAACCGACAACAATCCCTTTTACGAGTATCTCGTGGACGATCCGGAGGTAAGTGAACAAAACAGCCCGGCTTATATCGCCATTTTTCGTCCGGTCATTTCTCCTCGGACAGCAGCCGCAAGGGGGTCCGCTCCTCCTCAGATCAGGTCCTGCTTCAACTCGCCCGCTCATATCATGCGTCTCTTCATATTCTGAACCCGCCAGATCTAGTGATGGAGGGTTACGCGACGTGGTCGACCAAGTGGCCGGAAGCAGTGCATGATACCACACACCGACGTTGAGCCAAGCTCCATCCCTTAGAGGGAAGGGGGGATGAATGACAAGTCAAACCATGATCGGAGACGGCGCATATCTCGCTACGTGTGGTTCTTGAGCTACTGAAGTGTCGTGTTGGTGGTGGTGTGTGAGCGGACGGGAGGAGGCGATGGGTCCAGAGCTGAAAGTTCGGTTTTGTGTGTCCACCCCGGCCGGCATGGGGTGATGGCAAGGTGACGAAGTCAAAAAGCCCATTCAACGACCGATAAGTCGGAGCATGATGCGAGAAAGCCAAAGATGACCACAGCGCGAGAGATTTGCTTCTGGAAAGGAGGAAAGATGAGAGAGGGAAAAAAGAGGACAAAGTCTGACCATATTTCTATCAGCAGATGATGGCTTCGACGCCGTTGTCCCCGCACTTTTCACCCAACGTGTTCGGAGGGGCCTTTGACGTCCGCGACCGCCCGCACCACGCCACCCGATCCGGGAATCAGGCCATGTCGAGTCCAGGCCACGACCGGCCCAATTCCATCAATGAATCAGCCGCCACGATCGCAGTTTCAGTTCCAGGTGTTCCTGGACTAGTAGTGAATGCGCAACAAATTTCGAGTCTTCAGCAACGGCTGCAACAACAACAGCAGCTCCATCGTCCAGCCTTGGGGGGGTTGGGGGAGTTGGAGCTGACAGCAGCTGGAACTGGAACTGGAACTGGAGCTGGAGCTGGAGCTGGAGCTGGAGCTGGAGCTGGGTCAGCCGCTGCCGAGAACCAGAGTCACCACCAACATCACCAATTCGCCGCGCTGCATTCACAGTTCGCTGATCACCAGGGTCCGCTCGCCCTGCTCCATGCACAGCAGCAAGGGCATCGACAGGCACCTGCCACATGGTTCCCGCCCGGGTATGGGGCTCCGTCGTACCGTGACAGCAGCAGCAGCAGCAGCCAGTACTACCAACAGCAGGCCGCTGCAACGGTCTCTTCCTCCTCCCCATCCTCCTCCACAGCCGTCTCCGTTGTAGCCAATCCGCCCATCAACATCACTGCAGCGGGCGGCCTGAGCAACAGTAATACCGGCGCGGGCGGAGGGCAGCTGTTCGACTTTGGCTTTGCAGCACCGCATCCAGCTGAGCAGTCATTCCTTGGCGGAGACTATGCCGACATCACGCCACTTTCCACAGCGGCAGCAGCAGGAACAGCAGCAGCACTGACAGCCCATCCGCAACCGACTGCCACCTTCGACTTT